ACTAGCAAACACCTTGGAACAGCAAAACGTGTCCTTAGATATGTAAAAGGAACCTTGGATTATGGTCTGGAGTATGTGAAAGGAAAAGGGGCAGTTCTAATTGGCTATTGTGACAGCGATTGGAGTGGCTCAGTGGATGATAGCAAGAGCACATCTGGATACGCTTTTTCTTTTGGGAGTGGAGTGTTTGCTTGGGCCTCAGTCAAGCAAAATTGTGTTGCACTCTCTACTGCAGAAGCTGAATACATCAGTGCCTCTGAAGCAACAACACAAGCAATTTGGTTGAGATTTGTCCTAGAAGACTTTGGAGAACTTCAAACAGAAGCTACACCTCTCCACTGTGACAACATTTCAGCTATTGCCATTACAAGGAATCCTGTTTTCCATCAGAAAACCAAGCATATTGATCGGAGGTATCATTTTATTAAAGATGCTTTGCAAGATGGAACTGTGGATTTGATCTATTGTCCTTCGAATGAGCAGCTAGCAGATATTTTTACAAAGGCTTTGGCCAAGGATCGGTTCAGCTATCTTAGAGAGAAGCTTGGTGTGAAATCAGCTCACAACTTAAAGGGGAGTGTTGAAATGTAAGTAGTGAGCTGATAGGAAATGGAATTAAGCCTGGTCAGCTAATGGTGTATTCTCTTAGTCAATCAAAATGACTGGTGTTAGGCTTTAGTAGTAAAAAGGCTTATAAGCCACGTGTAATGTTTTTATTAAGCAGTTATAGATGAAGGGCTGAGATACAAAGTGATGTAATTGTATCCAGCTAGACATATAGCTCACATATAGTGTGCTCATTTAAAAAAAAAAACATACAGAACAGTGCAATAGGAAATTCATACGAATTGATTCATTCTCTGCTCTCTCTTTTATCTCTGCATTCTTTCTTCTCTCTCAACCTATTCAAAACTCTAACAGTTTTCAGAGGTCCCATTACTATTTTGCCATACGGCCCCTAAAATCTCAGAGCCGCCTATATTGTTAGATATATTGTGGCTCCCCATATATACTATATAGTTTTGAGCTACTTCATCAAACAATTAATTGTATGGAAGTAATTTTAAGGGTTAACTGCATAAAGCTGTTCTAGCCAACTCTGTTTTAATAATTTGGGTTGTATGAATTAGATTACATATATAGGGAACCAACTTCTATGTATATATCCAACGGTCCCACCAATATGTATACAGTCCTGATCTTTTTGACTACAGGGGTTCAAGAAATTTGTGGTCACTCATCATTGGATGTAATTTCAACGGTTCACTCACTCTTGCATTCTTTTTAAGAAATATTTTTGAATCATTTGATTAATATCCCCACAATCTCTTGGACTCCTATGATCCAAGAGATCGAGACTATAAATATATATATATATACATATATTGGTGGGTCATATATTGCATGTGATATTCAAAGTCGCGATACCGTCCACGTTCTCCCCATGAAATTTACTTCTAACAATGAAAAGAGTCCCATGATTGGATACCCCACAAAAAATAAAAATAAAACAAAATATGTTATTGATTTGGACGTATACATATATAAAGTTTACATGATTTCACCATCAGCTGGTTTGCCCGAGAGGTTAAGGGGGAAGACTTAAGATCTTCTGCACATAAGTGCGCATGGGTTCGAACCCCATAGCCAGCAAATTATCGTATTTAATTTGCTTTTTCTTTTTTATATATACCAATTATGCGCAAGTTATTTCCTTTACCAAATACAAAAGCCCAATTTATTTTCAGTTTTCCCACCAACTTGGGCCTACCATCTCGGCCCAAAAATAAAATGAAAGTCGACAAAGCAGTCTCCTAGCCATCACTATTAACACTTTCCTCGAGCACAAGAAACCCACTCTGTCTAAATAAGCATTCCTTCCATTAATTTTCTCTGCTCGATCTTCGTCTCTGTTCTTCGTCTTCCTCTTCCTTTGCGTGATTATCAATCGTCCAGGTATTTTCACAAGCTCTAGTTTGTTCCAATTTTGTCGATTTTCATAACAGAGTTCATGAAATTGAACATTTTGAACCAGCTTTCGATTTCTAGGGTTCAATCTGGAACCATGATCATAAAGCTGTCGATGGTTTAATTTTCTTTTTTGGTCAATGCTTTTCTTCTCAGAAATTTAAGAGAAATGAAGCTTGATACTAGCGGTCTTGAATCAGCCGCGCCGCTGGTTGGCGCGAGCAGTGGGTTTCTCGATGGGTTTGCAGATGCTCCATCGTTCGAGGTTCCTACTACCAATGATGTGAGTTGTGATGTGCTTGTTGTGCTTTCTTCCCGTGTCTCTTAGACTATGTGGTAACATTTTTCTGAATATGAGTTTTTCTCCTGCTTCAGTTTGATGGCTTTCAGAAAGAAGCTATTCAAATGGTGAAGCCTGCCAAGGGGACAACCACACTTGCTTTTATCTTCAAGGAAGGCGTCATGGTTGCCGCTGATTCTCGAGCTAGCATGGGAGGATATATATGTAATATTTTATTACTTCAAATTGTTTGCAAATATGTGATAGTGCTATGCTTTGTCCCATGAACTTTTTATTGGGTTAATTGAGAGTGATGCTTAAACTTAGTAGTATCCATGAAGATGCGGCTTCTTCACTTTTTGGAGTGATTTTGATTAAGTGCTTTGTTCATCGCATTGGCATATTCTTATCATGTTAGTTTAGGTGTCTTAGATTGTCTCTGCTAATGTTAATCATGTACCTTGTCTTTGGCTATGGAACATGGGTTCACATTTACAATCTTCTTCCTAATCTTTGCAGCCTCACAATCTGTGAAGAAAATTATTGAAATCAATCCTTACATGCTTGGTACAATGGCTGGAGGAGCCGCTGACTGCCAGTTTTGGCATAGAAATCTAGGGATAAAGGTAGTTCTTGTACTTTGTTTTCTTACTTTGTAGTGTACAATTTTAGAATTGTCAGCTATGATCAACTTTGAAGGGGTGAATATATTTTTTTGGTGTTCTATACTTATTATCAAGTTGTTTTTACAAGGACGAGGAAGGTCAATATGTTCGAGAAACTTTATCATGAGTCATAGTAGTGGCATCATATTTGTGTTCACCTATTAAGGGCATGATTATTATGCTCTTTATTTTGGCTTAGTATACTGTTAAAGTGGATTATTATTTGTTGTATCTTTCCTTATATGGATTACTAACAATCAATTGTTTGAAATAACTCAGTGCCGATTGCATGAATTGGCAAACAAGCGCAGAATTTCAGTTACAGGGGCATCAAAGCTGTTGGCAAACATTCTGTACTCTTACCGTGGCATGGGTCTCTCTGTTGGGACCATGATAGCTGGATGGGATGAAACGGTAATGAAATACAAATCTTATCACATGATTTTATTTATTTATTTATTTTTTTGCAGTCACTTGTACTCACGTAATCTGCATCTATTTCTGGGTGCAGGGTCCTGGACTCTATTATGTGGACAGTGAGGGAGGAAGATTGAAAGGCATGCGGTTTTCAGTTGGATCTGGTTCACCATATGCTTATGGTGTTCTCGATAATGGGTGTGTACTTTCACTCCTTTAATTTTTTGTTTGTCTATTGGTGCAATATTTTTTGAGTCTTTGTTTCTGCAGTGTCTTCCCTTTATTAAGCATTGAACACTTGAACACAAGAATTACAAGTGCATAAGATTTAGTTATAGATAAGGTATTACAAGCAAGTGGAAGTGTAAAAAACACCCGTTTCAAAACTTTGAATGTCATGGGAACTCGTCTCTGGAAAAGAAAAAGGGGAAATGAAAAAACAATTAAAAGGATTAAGATAAGTGAGGGAGTCTAATAAAACGGGAAATTTTTTGTCCACATAAGATTTCTTTCACTTGTGTACCTGCTTTTCTTTTCCTTTGGTTCTGTTAGAGGTTCGATTGATCTTTGGGATAACTGGATTATGAAATGATTGAATCCCCTTGCTCTGATGTTGTGGTTGCAGCACAACCACATTTTGTTTTTATAACTATTCTGCTTTTTACCCATCGAAGTTATCTTATTATGACTTTAATTATGGCATTCTGTTTTGCCTTAATAGAAATTTTAGAAATTGGCCTTCTTTTTTTTTATTGCGTCAAATATATAAAGTTTTTCTCTGAGTTTTGGTTCCCTACAATTTTCTGAGTATATTTGAGTTTTATTTGTATAGATGCATTGCTTGTTTTGCTTGTGTTCTGCAAACTTTTATATTTTGGTGCGTCATCATTCTACTGACTGTAGTTGCTTATGCTAGGTACCGGTACGATATGTCTGTTGAAGAAGCTGCTGAATTGGCTAGAAGGGCTATATATCATGCAACATTCCGTGATGGAGCCAGTGGTGGAGTTGCGAGCGGTAACTCTCTCTCTCTCTCTCTCTCTCTCTCACACACACACACACACACACACAGAGTAGACAACACACATTTTACTTATATTGGTTTCAAACTGGTGTTTTTAATCAGTTTATCACGTGGGACCAAATGGATGGAAGAAGCTTTCTGGCGACGATGTTGGGGAGCTTCACTATCACTATTATCCTGTAGTCCAAGGTGCAGTTGAACAGGAAATGGTTGAAGTAGCTGGGGCCTAAGAATCTTACACAACCTGGACCAGGTTTGAAGTGTTGTTCCCCCCCTCATGTATCTGATGGCAGATGGAAACGCAAGACTATAGGATTTCATGTCCTATTTTGGTTGATATGTTGTTAGAATCGGGATTTGAAGTTTGATGTCATACAATTTTCTGATAATCATCATCTTTCCATTGTGGATTACATTTTATCTATTGTTGGTGATGCCCTTCCATTTTAGTTAAACCCTGGTCAAACTGGGTTATATTTTTTATCGGTGCTCATACCCCTGGCATGTTCGTATTTTATAATACTAATCTAAATCCAATGGGAGAAAAGGGAAAGGGGAGTTTTTGTTCTTTTCTTATAGTGGACATGGGCATTGGGTGGTAAAATGAAATAAGTTATTATTTTGATGATGGATCTTGTGCCATATTGTTGTGGATCAAAATAGTTTGGGCATAGCTGCATGCTTCTTTCGTTGATTTAAACTTCCATTCACTTGTTTTAGCAATTGAACATTAGAAGAGTTTCGTGGAGGATTTTAGGCCATAAACATGTATTGTTTACCCATACCATACATCAGAGCATCTTTCCTTGGTGCTGTATTTTGCAACCACTGATTAGGGCTTTTTAGCGGTCAGGAACCCAAGAAAAAGATCAAACCCTCCTCCAACATCTTGAGTCCTTGACATTGAATCTCAAGCCTGCATTTCCGATTTAGGGTTTACAAATCATGGATGCCCGTGTTCATGTTATTATCTACATTAACTAACTATTAAGACTGGAAAGGGTAGTCAGTCGTCAAAACAAATTTCCTTAACTTTCCACCAAAACCAATCCCTGAAATTATTTGTTTTGTTGTTCAATACATCTATTTCTTTCTTCTCTCCCCCAAAGTAACTGATTTTTCAATTTCTCTTTTAACAAGGCCTTGGAGTGGGGGCAGTCTCTCTTTCAATTTCTTGCTTGCTTCTTGTTAGCCATGTCTGCAACCGAAAGCTCAGAGTATCGGCAGTCAAGGCAATGTATTGCTCCTTTTTGTTGCGGGTATTTGCACCTTGGTCGTCTGCCTCACAACAAGCATTTCAAGGTCAAACAAAAACCTGAATTCAGTATCAGCGGTGCTTATCTCTAACCAGTTCAGTTACATCGAAACCAACCATACTCTCTCCTATAACCTTACCCTCGACATCTCCCTCACAAATCCGTGCCAGAAATACTTTAAGTTGATTGACAACCAAGTCTTTGCATACTCTCAAAACCAGAAATTTGGTCTTGTGACATTGATTGATAGGAGGACAGCGTTTCACCAACACCCCAAGAACACCACCTTTTTTCAGAATGCAGTTGTTGAAGGCTGGAAGACAATGGGGTTTGAAGAACCTGTGCTTCCCAAAGATTGATGGATGGTTTTCCCACGTCGCGTGCAACCTAACCGTTCCACTGACGCGAGTTTTTATTGGAACATCTTGTGATAGTTTCAACACTACAAAGTGCTTCTATATTCCTGTTTAATTTTAATCATTACTTTCAATTTGCTGTATGTGCCTTAGCTTCAAATAGATTCTAATTAAGGTTTTAAAAATAATAAAATTATATATTAAGAAATTTTGTGTTTTCACCTTGAAACTCTCTTTTTTTTATTCTTCTTACCTTTTATCCATTACTAGCCTCTTTGCAGGCGCTTCCGCTCCTGCAAGAGGTTTTTATTTATAAAAAAAATTAAATTTATTTTAGAATTAAAAAAGATAATGGTTAATTGTGTTTAGGATCCATTATCTGATTCTTCCTTTTAATTTTATTTTTTGTTCAAATGAAAAAGTGTGAATTTATCATATTATCCTTATTTAATTAATAATTTCAATTATTTATGTTTGTATTAACCAAATGAATTTTCTGATATTTTGAATGTTTTACCATTCTCTGCCTTTTGCTTTATAAATATAGATATTTATTTAGGGAGTTTCACTAAAACACCCAAAATGGGAGCTGAAATTATAAAAAAAACTCAACACCCAAAACACTTTATAAACACACCCAAAACCTATCATTACACACACTCAAAACCCATTTATAAACACACCCAAAAAATATACAATTGTTGACTTTGTGATTGATTTTAGGTGTGTTTCTATGTTTAAATAGTATTTGAGTTTTTTTATAAATACATGTTTAGGATTGAGTTTTTTTATTCATCTTGAACCTAGTGACCACGATTCAAATAAGTAAATTTCCTTTAAATTCATTGATTTAAACTTCCTCAGCTTGTTTAACAATTGGACATAAATTTTTTAGAGATTCACTATTATACTCAATATAGTAGCCCAAATTATAAAGACAACATATATGAAATGGACTTTAGAAACACACCCAAAGCTCATTTACAACATAACAAAAAGGCTTTTAACTTTTTTTGAATTACAAAACTGACATTGATTTCTTAAAACAAACTCAATCCCAAAACCTCACAAAAAAGCCTAAAATACTCAATAGGGCATTAAAATAATTTAATAATCAAAATTAAATTCAATGGGACCGGCTGTTATTTTTTGGGTTTGTTTATAAAAATTAAATGGTGTAAGGTTTATTTATAATTTTAATGCTAAAAATTAATATATGACTAAATATCTCTGAAAAAAAATTTCCCTTGAAGTCGATCTGGGCATGTCTGCCAATCATTAAGAAATATGAAACAGATGCAAATTAGAAGTTGTAGATTACACTACAAGGCAAACACTGGACTTTTCTCTCCCACTTTTTGGTTCTACTCTTTTTAGGTTTAATCAGAGTCAGACCTACCACCCCAGCATGCTTCAGTGAGGTCACTCAAATCAAATGCGTCAACGAGGAGAACCAAATTTTGTGGTAAATGGGCCCCATCTTTCTCATGAGCATCTTGAACAACTAAAACCAAAACCAAACCAAACCAAAGGCAGGCTGGTTGGGTTGGGGTTGAGTTAACTTTGATTCAAGCCCAATCAATTGCATCCCTTAAGTACAAAGCATTGGATAATAATAACATTATTTTTGCCTATATAAGGCTTTGTCTTTTGTCACACGATGTCATCACTACATGCTTAGCTACCAAATATATTCTAGCCAGAATTTTTTTTCATTAAAAAATCAAGTACAGAAAGGGAAGGGAGTCTACTTTTTATGGCCAATAAATTAAGGTGCAATTATATTAATGGTCCATTAAATAAATAAAGTACAATAATTCGTAGAATGCATTGTTCCACCGAAATGAAAATGATGTGTAGATAGATTCCAATCTGGCAACTACTCAGAATGAAGACAGGAGGACAATCAAAAGACAGTACAAAGCTAGAACAATTTAGCCCTGATTTATTAGCTTCTAAGCATGTTTTCATCATTAAGAATGAGATATCATTATTATGCAAGTTTCTACTTAACAATTATGTAATTAGTTTACATGATTAATAAAAAAATATTTTGGGAAACAAAACCTGCTATTTCGCACGATCTCTGATTAATTATGCGATTGCGTTTTATAGTCACATCCCGTACATTAGAGTAATTAGAATTTTAGTTTATAAAAATTAAAAAACTACCAAATCAGTTTACTGTAAAACTATATGTCTCTGTTTGGTTGCTGTCAATTAATTGCGAAACCTTTAGGGATTCATCAGAGAGACTCCTTTTTCTTAGGTCAACATAAGTCAGACTTTTAGTTGGAGATTCTTTTTCCTACCAATAACCATTACTTGCTTCATTCATTTGTAGTTGATCTTGCTCGTTGCTGCTGTTTCTGTGGACCAAAGGAGCCACAACAGATAGACTGTGACTGTGTCTGGACTGGGCATATATTTCTTTATTCTAATAGTTTAAGTTCCAAAAATTTCCGTCATACAATCTTATCAAACAAATGATTCTCTTATCATAAACAAGTGATTCCAGTGCTAATTAAACATATGAGTTTTGCTAGGATAGTCGCACACGCGCACTTCAGTCATTGATGATAGTATACTATGTATTTTATAATGTAACTTACACTTATTTGGTGCACCGTATAAGTGATTGTTATTGATGAATGTGACTCTCACAATGTGGCCAGACTCATCGACGAGAGAGGCGGGAAATTACCGTCCCTAGTATTTTCCTCTTAAACATAAAAATATTGCAAGCAAGTCCTAGTTTATTAGTTAACCTAGGATATGAAATTAGATAAAACCAACAAAGAGTCCAGAAAATGATGGAATGTTATTTATAACTAGACCTGACCAGTGACCATATAGTATATGTAACATCAGCATCATATTCAATTCATGCTTTAAAAACACATTGCAAAAGCCACCACTCCCTCTATGCCTTTGCTTTTCTTCTACTCCCTCCTTGCCCCCCCCCTCCCTCTTGTTCTGTTAGCCGGTCCTCTCTCTCTATTCAGCTCTATCCCTCTCTCTCTCTCTCTTTTTGGCGGGAGGTGGACCCCACTAATCAAATCTCCTCCATCTCCAGTCTCTTTCTCATAAATACCGGCGGGCACCAGCCCACCCACACCTCCAACCACTCTCTCTCTCTCTCTCTCTCGCTCTCCACAACAACAACAACAACAACAATAACAACATGCATTTCAATTAGAAACCACATTTCAATTTACGATTTCGCTCCCATTTTTATTCTTCTCTGCCAAATTATGGAACCTTCCATTTTCTTCTTCCTCCTCATCTCTATCTTCATTGACGTCACTCTCTCTCTCACCCCAGACGGCCTCTCCCTCCTCTCTCTAAAATCGGCCGTCGAACAGCCATCCGACGGCTCCGCTTTCTCCGACTGGCTCGACACCGACGATACCCCCTGCCGCTGGACCGGCATTTCTTGCATGAACGTCACCGGCTTCCCGGACCCCCGCGTCGTCGGAATCGCGCTCTCCGGCAAGAATCTCCGCGGGTATATTCCGTCCGAGCTCGGAACCTTAGTCTATCTCCGGCGGCTCAACCTCCACAGCAATAACTTCCACGGCTCTATCCCTTCCCAGCTCTTCAACGCCACCTCACTCCACAGCATCTTCCTCTACGGTAACAACCTCTCTGGTTCGCTCCCTCCCTCGATCTGCAACCTCCCCCGCCTCCAGAACCTCGACCTCTCCAACAACTCTCTTTCCGGTTCGCTCCAAGCAGAGTACTTGAAGAACTGCAAGCAATTGCAGCGGTTGATTCTCGCGAGGAACAGATTCAGCGGCGAAATT